GAGGGTAGGGCTGAAGTGGCAGCAAATGATGGCTTGCAGAAGGCAAGGAAGAGAGGTGGCCTGCTGGGGCAGGTAGCAGCACAATGCCTGCAGGGGCAGGAAGTAAAGGTGGCCTGCGGGGTCAGGGTGGCAGAATGCGCTGGGCAGGCCGAAAGGTAGTCGGAGGGAGGCAACAAGTGCAGGAAGTGGGGGCAGTCGGCTGTGGGAAGTAATACCGCTAGCTGGACAGCCGACAGAGAGCTGTTGGAGGGACGACTGGTTGCAGAAAGGGTGTGTGGTGCCTGCCGAGGGAGCAGGAAGGAGTATCGAGGGTTGCGACCTACAGGGAAGCTACAAGGAGGAGATTGGAGGAGCAGCAGGGACTGCGGCCTACAGGGGAGCTAAATGTAGAAGATCGGAAAGGAGCAACGGGGGCTGCGGCTTGCAAGGGAGCTGCTGGGAGGCGGTTGGCAGGGAGCAGCAAGTGAGGGGTATGCCAGCAGGGAAGTTGCAGGGAGGCAGTTCGAAAGGAGCGGCAGAAGTTGAGGTCTGTAGAGGCGAAGGACGGAGTTGGACGAAGGAGATGATCACCACCTCAGATGGAGTTACAGCTGGAGCACCTCCCTTGTCGTCGGATACAGGTCTTAAGAAGGGAAAACACTAAGATAATTTTGAATTCAGATTAAAATACAAGACCCATAATTCTAAACACATCATCCCCTATTTATAAAGAGACTAGACTTATTTTAGCTGATACTTAAAATAAGAAAGAAGAACAAAATATAATCAGAATTTCAAATTTTAAGAAATGTTTTAAAATAAGAAAGGAGAATAAGATATAATTAAGATTTCAAATTTTAAAAAAAGATTTGAAATAGGAAAGCACTAGGAAGGAAATCTTGAGGGGAGGAGAAAGGAAATGTGAAAAGAAGTAACAGGGGGTCCTCTCCCCACTGAGGACCGATCGGTCCAGCATTGCTAGACTGAACCAGGCCGGTCCTCCAGAGCCCCGCGCCAATTACTCTGCAGGATGATATTACCAAATTTAATTTGGCATTTTGGGAAGAAGGGAAATCTCACTCAATATCATACTAGTCTAACTATAAAAAATTGGTGACCAGCCGCCCCCATCTAAACACAACTAAATGGACCCATCAAGTGAATCAAATCACCCAAAGCATCTGTTTGACCACAAACCAAGGCTAATCCAACCAATACCCATCAATTTAAATTGGCACTATCTCAGGTTGCTAATTTTGACAAATTAAAGACTGTCAAAGCAATTCACCAACTAAAATGTGACAGGATGTTGAACCTACCATGTTGCCATAGTGCAATAAGTCATCTTGTGACCACATTCTATCCACAACATCTAACTGCTAGCAAGCTATCGAGCATAGAAAACGCGCTTAATGGGAGTGCCTCGGGGTGTCTAAAAGTTTTGATAAAGATTCAATAACTAGCTGGTGGATGGGTTTAGCCAGTGCGATACACTTCTTGGGGATTAGATCTTTGAGCTTTTTCTTCTACTTCCTCTAAAAAAAACGTTGTAATCAAGGCTAGTGCATTCCTTAGTGGATGTTCGCAAAGACAACAAAACCACTTAAATTTGTTGCCATTGTTTGTAGTATCTTTCCTCTCTCTTATGTTGTTGTCGTTACTTCAATATTAAGATAGTGTAACAAATCATTTTCAATGCTCCAAGATTATTCAATTGGTAGGAAGATATTACTAAATTTAATCTGGCAAATTGAGGAGTAGATAACTCTTACTTGATATCATAGTCGTCTGACTAAAATAACTAGTAACCAACAGCCCATCTTAAAACAATTGAAAGGACCACTGATAACAGTAATTATGATGGTCAAGAAAGTACTTATCATAGTTTTATTTTTTCTTGAATACTTTTGTAGTCGTTGGGTCTATATAAGACACAAACTTGTGTAATTCATTATATAACTTTTGTCCTAAGCTAAGAATAGAATTTTGCTTTACTGCTTTTCTCCTCTTCTCTTTCTTTTTTACTTTTTCTTTCTTCTTGGCCCTATCAGTTTCTATTTAATGTTGGTCTTCTTTTTACTTTATGGTATTAGAGATTTTAAGGCTTCACAACTTTCCTCTTTTCCATGGAAGAATCAAGCGCATCTGCTTTAAACGAAGGAATGGCCTCCCTAAATAAAAAGGATAAGCAGCTTC